ATATGTGTGTGTGTGTGTGTGTGTGTATTCACACACAAACACACACACACACACATACATACACATACATACATATACACACATTAACACACAATTGCACTCAGCAATATCATGTTTGTAAAGTTGTTCTGTATTGGTGTATTGGTGTATTTTTATGAACGTATTTATATTTGTGTATTTATGTATATATGTATACATGTATGTATTTATACATTATGTGCGTATGTATGTCTGTTTGCTACGGTAATACTTCCCCCAAGGGGATCAGTAAAAAAAATAATTTATAGCTTATGATAATTTATTTATTTATAATTATCTATAGGTTATGGGGGGAGGGGGGTGAAAGGTCTAATATAACTTATGTCTGTCTTTCATTTACTTCTGGGTGGTTTTCTGATAAAACCCATGCTTCTATTTACTTGACCTCTCCATAGTTGTTATGTAATTGAAGCTAAGGAATCAGTAACCCAGCAGGACAACAGTTCGAGGAAGGCACCGTCAGATTTTTACGTTAGTCACAAGACACTTCAAAGATCTGTCCAAGTCAAGAAGACAATCCGATCTTTTTTTTTTAAAGTGTTTTAAGGCGCTCGCAACTGCATAAGGCCATATGGGCACTCGGGACACACCAAACATCTTCAGTTGGTAAGAAATTTTGAATTTTCCCCAGGTGGTGGCTGAAGCCTACTCTTATCGAATTTAGACCACCAAGTGATGTTTAAGGTGCGCATCGTGCACACGGGACCTCCGAGATTGTTTCGCCCTTGTCCGAGAAGGCTAGGTGTAGATCTTTCCTACCAGAAGATCAGGGGTGTGACTGAAAGACGGCAGTAAGAAGGAGCAAAGGAGTAGCAGTAGAAAGGCTGCAGAAAGAGCCGGGAGCCCAGAGGAGAGGGCAAAGGAGGTGAGGGGGTTGGGGCAGAAAGTGGGGACAAAAGAAGACGACAGAGCATTGCTAGAGAGCAGGAAAGGAGGTGAAAGGAGACAATTTTAGAGAAGAAAATTGTTCCGTCGCTACCCGGATTCGAAACCAGAACCTTTGAATGAGAGGTGAACACCTTAACCTCTTGGCCACGAAAGCCCCCTACTCCGATCTTTAGACAATAGAAGGTTTGTTAAGTCAAAGTAAGAGAGATTGTTCAAGATGATACTGAGGTACTCTTGCGAGAAAATGTCACCAAGGCTTTTAGATAGATAGATAGATAGACAGATAGATAGATAGATAGATAGATAGATAGATAGATAGATAGATAGATAGATAGACAGAGACTCACCTCGAACTTAATACTTAATACTACTACGGGTACTATCAACTACAGGTGGGACATTTTACCTTTTCCGAGTCATCGTGACGATATTGTAGTCTCTGTTCCTGCTTCTGGGGAAGAGAAAAAGAAAATAAGATTGACATAATATGATAGTATGAAAATGACCCTCCTGTCCCGCCCTTCTTCAGATTTTACCACGACACAGCCTGAGGGTTTACTATGTGTGGTGGGTGGCTCTACACCCTGAAGTACCAACTCGTGTCAAAATTAGGGATTTTGAGATGTAGGCATTTTCTGGCTTCTTCAGCCTCTCGTACAACTATATCATGGCATACGAACACTATAGAGCCTTATTTTGTCACATATCAGACAAGTTAGTCTACATATTATAATATTTCTTCATTAAGTCTCTCTTTTATTTTTCTTTATCGTCCGTTTTCTTAAAACGCGGTTTTTCTTTATTTTTTTGTGAATAACTCCACCATTTTTCATCCAGTCTTCATGAAATTTTATAGAGTAAGGGAAAAAAATAAATCAGCATGTTGAATTTTCAATATATGGAATAGATTTTTGTTGTTGGTGTCAGGAGTGTGGAATTCCACTAATTTTTTTCCCCTGCAACCCTGAATGCTACCTTAAGAAAAATATTCTCTAAATATTTTCTTCTAATTCATTTATGAAATGAATCAAACTACCATTTTGTAGATCTATTGTTTGCTAACATGCGTACAAAACAGAAACCTATTTCCATTGAAAATAAATGAAGTATTAACTGTATATGACAAGTTAACAAATGCAATAAGACTACCGTCTCCATGGCAACGAAACTTTTCTTTTCTCAAATTTGATTGCAGATTTGAAGTCTCTTTACTCTTTAGTATGCTTGTTATATGAGTGAAATTTGGTATAACCTGATTCTCAAATAAGCGAGCGAGATAACTATAAGGTGTAGTACGACCGTGCTTAAATTTCTTATCATCTTTCCCAACTTTTGGTGTTTATGCAACTTGAATTGTAATACTTTACGACATCATTGACGTAATTTAGTTTGGTATAGGAGTTGGGCTTTTGCGACCCTGCCTTTCGGGATCAACAATGCTTAGATCGTATATAATATCCCACCAAATATACGAGGATACTCGGTTTGAAAACAAACCCAAAATACAAACTTAAAAACAGATGTTTACAAAGCATGGAGATTCACATGGGTACAGAATTGGACATTTGTAATTCACTGAGAAAAGATGATGTCAGTTGGGAAAGCGCTTTCTGCGTCTGAAACAAGAGACCAAAGGTTTAGAAAATAAAACACATTTAGGTATTTTAAACAACGTAGCTGGTAGTTTACGGAGAAGAGTTTGGTGACAGTTTTTTTATGTCAACCATCGGATTTTGGAACATGATTTGTTAGGAACTGGTTGATGAACGAGAAATCAAACATGAATGCACGTGTTGCCAATGTATCCCCTGTGTTGAGGGGTTTTTCAATCAACAATCTATAACGATTATCATCACATTACTGTATGGCTCAACTATTTTAGGAAAAATTCGATACCCTTTGTAGCATATTTTCTGTACCATAACATAGATTCTGTATAACAAGATGGTTTACTCCTCTCTTTGAATCAATTATAAAAGTGTCCTCAAAATCAGGTGGCGCCATCTTTGAGAAAGCGCACGCTTTGCGAATAGGGTTACCCTTCTTGTGTGGAAAAAAAATCAAAGTGAAACTAACACGTTTTTGTATGAATTATAATTAAAATTTCAGAATAACGCCTTTTTATATGGTTACGCTGACAAAATTCCTCTTCAGGTGGTAGGGGTGATTGTTTTCTCCGTTTAATTTGGCTTTAGAGCGAGAGGCCAGAGGTCATTAAAATTAAATATGCCCAAAACTCTCCACTAATCGAACCGGAACAGCTGATGCGCAAGGGGGTGCTATCCCTATTCTTCTTCTTGAAAAACGAAAGAGAGTTTCAAAACAAACATAGCAGGGACATCAGCTGAACCAAAGCGTGGACTTCCGCGGACACTTTTTTGGCCGAGTGAACTATCTTGTCATGTACAATCTTTGACCATAATCATTACTCTATGATTATCTTTATTCGATATATCTTTTTGTCATTATTCAATATCTCATTAGAATCATTACTGGATATTTCTGTGGCACTGTAAATATTTTATACCTCCCTTGTCTGATCAGTATTCAATAACTCCATAACCCCATTACTATTCGACTTTCCCTAGCTCTGTGATTATTCAATTCCGCTTAAATCTTGTCATTATTGGAGTCCATTTTCTGGATAATGTAATCTTACTACTATACTCTAAATACTTCACCATCGGTTCAGAATTTTTAGTCAATATTCAATACTTCCTTTAACCAAACAATATTCGATGCGTCTATTGTCCAGTCGTATTTCGATACTTTTTCGATATTTAATAGCTTTCTTTAGTTTAGTTTTAGTAAACGTTTTACGGCGCTCGCAACTGCATAAGGTCATATGAGCGCTAGAAGTTTAGAGGCGTTACAAGAGAGTAACAAACATAAAAAAGAAGAAGAGGGAGATAAGGACGATAGACGTTTGATAGGGAAGAAGGAGCAAAACACACCAGAGCACCCGCCAACCACCCACTAATAGCGTTCTGGTCAGATCATCATTTTCATGACATCTAATTAAATTCATCAGTAGTATTATGTTAACCACAAATTCGTTTCATTTTTCATGAATTTGAATGAGGTAAAGTGAAGTGGGTTGAGATCACCTTACCTTTCGTACACATCTATAAAATAACGCCATTTTGTTCATATAGTCAATGTGCAGAATTTAAATTATACTATGGTTTTGCTAAGACTAAATTCACATATTTGTTGTTCTAAATAACAATCAATAAATGTTTCCTAAGGCATACAAAAAATCACAATATTTCCCGAATATCAACAAAAAAAATCTCCTTGCTTGTTTTGTTTTTTCTTTATTTAAAGTGGCTTTTCTGTTGTTCTGTTCATTGTTGTATTGTTACACCTTTTTATGTCTTGTCTCCTTTACTCAAGCATTTATTAAGGGTTGCTGTTGATGAAATACCTCATTGAATCTACTTCATGAATGAGGAGTCCTTTGGTATTGTGACTGGGAGTTCTTCCTAAAATATCAACTATTTATGCTTGGTCCCGTTAGTCATCCCACATTTCAGTAGCGAGGCGATACGGTATTGTGAAAAAATGTGTAGGCCTAACAATCGGTTAATAGACTCGTGAACCAATGGCTGGAGATGAAGGGAAATAATCGAGGAAAAGGCTCAACCACCATTTTTTTTTTTATGTACTAAAACAAAAACGCCCATACTTCCAGCTCAACATGGTCAGTGGTGGGGTTTTTTTTCTTTTCCTTTTTCTTTTTGTTTGTTTTTTTTGTTTGTTTTTGTTTTTTTGCTGTCGTTTGTTTGGGGGGTTTTTTGTTTGTTGCTTTTTCTGCTTATTTTCTATTGTTGTTTTTGGCAAGTGTTAACTGCTCTCATAACTGCATAATATCATAAGTTGTTCGATGTTACCTACCCTCAGGGGTGTGGCTGAAAGACAACAGTAAGAAGGGGCGGGCCAATGAGTAGCTGTAGAAAGGCTGCAGAAACAGTTAGGGGCCAGAGGAGGGGGCAAAGGGGTCGGGGTGGGGGCAGAAGGTGGAGACGAAGGTAGACGATAGAACATGGTTAGATGCGGAAAGAAGGCGAAAG